CCCACCCTTGCTTCCTGTGATGTACTCGCCGAGCGTCTTCTCGGGCCGGCCGCGCCCGCGCCGGCGCGGCGCCCCCCGCGCCGCCGCCGCCGCGTCCGAGACGATGACGTCTGGAGCAGCCTGACGGCGTCGTCGCCGTCGCCGCCGCCGCCGCCGTCGTCGCCGTCGTCGCCGCCGTCGTCGTCGTCGCCGTCGTCGTCTGTCGCCCGTCGCCGTCTGCCGCCTGTCGCCCGCCTCGCCGTCGCTGTCGCCGTCGTCGTCGCCGTCGTCGTCGCCGTCATGCGGCGCCGCGGCGCCTCGGCGTCGAAAATGACGTCAGCGGCGGGCGGCGCGGCGGGCGCCGCGGCGCCTCGGCATCGTCGTCGTCGTCGTCGTCCTCCTCCTCCTCCTCCTCCTCCTCCTCCTCCCCCTCCCCCCCCTCCTCGCCTCCTCCTCCTCTCCCTCATCCCCTCCCCCCTCCTCCCTCCTCCTCCTCCTTCCTCCTCCTCCTCGTCGTCGTCCTTCGTCGTCCTCCTCGTCCGTCTCGTCCGTCCTCGTCGTCCTCGTCTCGTCCTCGTCCTCGTCCTCGGTCCTCGTCCTCGTCTCGTCCTCCTCCTCCTCTCTCGTCCTCCCCCTCCTCCTCCTCCCCCCCTTTCCCTTCCCCTCTCGCCCTGCCTCCCCCAGCCCAGCCCGCCCCTCCCCCTCCCCCGTGCCCTGCCCCCTGCCGGCCCTCCCGAGGCCCGCCCCCGAGCGCCTCCAGCAGCCCCCGCGCAGCCACCAGCAGCGGCCATCGGCCATGCCGCGCGCCAGCAGCAGGCGGCAAGGCGCGGGGCCCGCGCGGGCCGCGCGGGGGCGGCGCCTGGCCGCCTGGCCCAGGAGGCCTCGAGGGCAGATCGACCGATCAACGGGGGCTCAACGCTCTGCCGCTCCGCTTGTCTCCCGGCCGATGGCCGTCCCGGAGCGCCTTCTCGACCTTCGCTGGGTTGTCCGTGAGGGCTGTGGCCCAAGACTTGGCCACCGCGGCGTCATCCTCCGCCTCCTTGGCCCTCTTGCAGAGGGCGTCCCGCTCCTGCTGCAGCTGCAGCACCTGGGCCTGCGCCTGATCGCGCGCGCCGCGCGCGGCATCCCGCTCCCGCTGCAACTGCAGCACCTGGGCCTGCGCCTGATCGGCCGCGGTGCGCGCGGCATCCCGATCCTGCTGCAACTGCAGCACCTGCACCTGCGCCTGATCGGCCGCGGCGCGCGCAGCATCCCGATCCTGCTGCAACTGCAGCACCTGGGCCGCGGCCTGATCGGCCGCGACGCGCGCGGCATCCCGCTCCTGCTGCACCTGCAGCGCCTGGGCTGCCGCCGTGGCGGCCCACCCATCGCGTTGCAGGTTGGCCCAGACCACATCCTGCACATCGCGCTCCCGCACCGTGTCCTGGATCTCTTCCTGCAGTCTCACCACCTCGTCCTGCAGGGCCTCGATCACGGCCTGCAGGCCTGCCACCTCGGGCTCCTGGCCCTCGGCGGCCGCCGCGGCCGCATCGGCAGCGGGAGCCTGGCCGTCGGCAGGCTGCGGCTGGCCCTCGGCGGCCGCCGCGGCCGCATCAGCTGCGGCGCGCTGGGCCTTTAGCTCATCGACCTGCCTCTGGAGGGCCGCAATCTCGGCCAGGCGCCTGGCCTCGCGGGCCTGGAAGCCTCCGCCATGCGGGCCCGATTTTTTCTTCCGCCGAGCGGCCGCCGCCGCCGCCGCCTCTGGGGCCGCCTCTGGGGCCGCCGGGGCGGCCGGGGCGGCTGGGGCGGCGACCGCCGCGGCTGCTTGGGCAACCGCGGCTGGTTGCCGCGGTTGGTTGGGCGGCCGCGCTGGCAGCGCCAGGTCGGCGGCGGCCGCGGGCCGCTTCTTGGGCGCCATGAGCGTCATCGAGCGCTGAACCCGCCGCCGAATCGGCGGAGTCCGCCAAACACATATTCAAAAAAAAAGGAGGAGCAGGAGGAGGAGGAGGAGGAGGAGGAGGAGGAGGAGGAGGAGGAGGAGGAGGGGGAGGAGGAGGAGGAGGAGGAGGAGGAGGATGAGGAGGAGGAGGGGGATACCAGGGGAGATAGGGAGATATAATGGTAGAAAGAGGGAGAGAGAGAGAGAGAGACAGAGAGAGGGAGAGAGAGAAACAACAAAACAACTATATCGGCTCATCGACTAGATAGGGGAGAGGAGGGGGGCGGATGCGGGGGGGCGTGAATCGAAAACGAGAATGGAAGACGCGGGAAGGCGAGAGTGGAGGAAGGCGCGGGAAAGAGGGAGAGAGAGAGAACGAAAGAGAAAGAGAGAGAGAGAGAGAGAAATATAGAAAGAGAGAGAGAGAGAAACAAACAAAAGAGAGAGAGAGAGAGAGGGAGAGAGAGAGAGAGCGAGAGAGAGATATAAACAGAGAGATACATATCAAGAGAGAGAGAGAGAAATATAAATAGAGAGATGGAGAGAGAGAGAGAGAGAGAGAAAGAAAGACAGAGAGATATATATACAGATGTATAGATGTATAAATATATAGAAAAACGCGGTAGAAGAAGAGAGGGAGAGAGAGAGAGAGAATGGGGGAAGTAGGGTGGATGAGAGAAGGTAAGATAGGAAGGGGGAGCATGGAACGGCGAGGAAAGACATTGAAACATACATACATGTAATCATTTGTATGTGAACATATATAATGCTTATGTAGCAACATGGAATAACCTGGGTAAGGGGGCTGTGGTAGAAATGAATTAAACCTAGCTTTTGGCTCAACACCCGGCCTTAATATTCGTCCCCAGACTAGTTTTGTAAGCTATCTTTGAGCGCTCCTCCTGCAGAAAGACATGCCCGACTCGAGACCGGCAGCTCGAGGCGCACCCTGCCGTGGCGGCGAGGGCCTCCCGGGCAGGCGCCCGCCAAACTGCCACCACATCGACGCCCCTCTCCCGGAGAGGGGCGAGGGGAGGCCCCGTCGGTGGCTCAAAGGCGGGGTCCTGAGACACGGGGGCCCGAGGACAGGAAGGGGCCCAGGGGTGAATTTTTACATTGCTCGAGGCACCTCTCGGGCCCTGGCCGAACTGGGTTGAGTGGGACCTGGTGTAGTGATGTGTCCCACACGCGACCACGCCAAACTGCCACCACGCGACGCCCCTCTCCTCGAAGGGGCGAGGGGAGGCCCCGTCGGTGGCTCAAAGGCGGGGTCCTGAGCCATGGGGGCCCGAGGACAGGAAGGGGCCCAAGGGTGAATTTACTTCAGTAGTGGAAGCAACTGGTTTTCAAAATGGTTGGTCTTTAGAGGCTCTGCGTGGCGACGCCCCCGTCGCCACGCGTGCCCTCTGCGTGCCTGCGGGGGCGCCGCCACGTAGAAGTACTGGAGACCGAGCATTTGGAGCGTCGCTACGCACGCCCTCTGCGTGGCTGCGACCATTTGTTAATACCCTAAAACCAATTAAATTCACCAACGAAGTACATTGTTCGAAGCACCTCTCGGGCCTTGGCTGAACTGGGTTTGGTGGGACCTGGCGTAGTGATGTGTACTGGGGGACGGCCCCCCCCCCCCCCCCCGCCGCGCTCCACTAACGGGAGTTGCCGCCACCCGAAAAAAAACACCAGCTACGGCCGACCTGGATCAGTGACTCTGGCAAACTTAAGGGCTCCGGGGCCCTACTACCCACCAGTTCCCCTTACCTGGGGTCCTGACTATACCCGAATCTCGTCCTTTTGAGCAAGGACCGACCGTCCTGGCATTCCTGTAGTCTTGCCACGAAATGCTCTTAGAACCCCAAAATGTTCTAAGAACAATAACCATGTTCTTAGGACATTAGCCCGGCGTATGAAAACAAAGCAGATTCCGCCAGAAATGCTCTTAAAAAACATTTGGTGGCAACCACAAGAGGTTCTTAGAACATTGCATGGTAGGGCTAGGGGGCCAGGACGCTTCGCCACTGCTTGATCCTTAGGACCCCATCCCTCAGGACCCCATTTTTGCACCACCGACCCCAGCCTCGCGCCCGGGCGCCACCGCGGGCGTGGGCCCCGTGCACCGGCGCGGGCGCACGCGGCGGGCCGGCCTCCCCCGCCGCGCTCCTGGATCCCTCCGCCTGCCCCCCCTCCTCCTCCTCCTCCTCCTCCTCCTCCTCCTCCTCCTCCTCCTCTTCCTCGTCCTCCTCCTCCTCCTCCTGCTCCTCCTCCTCCTCCCCCTCCTTTACCTCCTCCTCCGCCTCCGCCTCCTCTTCGCCCACCCCCCCCCCTCACGAAAACGGTGGAGCGGAAAGGTAGACCCATACCGACAGCTGTTCCCTGGGCCTCTCCTGCGGGGCCCCAATATATACACCACCGGCAGGCGGCCACATGAGAGGAAGAAAGCCTGCGCGCGACCGCCCCGACAGGGGTGTCACTGCCTGCCCCCGCCAGGCGCAAGTATTTGCCACGCGTTCATGCGCACAGGTGGCGGCCGCACTCGGTCGTGAATCATTGCTCCCAGGCACCCGTTGGCAGCACGGTGGTGGTGTCTAACAACGATGGGCACACCCAGGCTTTTCTGCACCACCCCGAAAAATACACCACGTGAATGTGCTGATTTCTTGCGCATGCAACCGCGTACCCAAATGATGCCGCACACGCGACATGTCATCATCGTGAGACTTGACGCACCCTGCAACCCACCGCCGAAAAACTAATCCGATCCACCCCCATGGCAGAAAACCAGCCCGCGGTGGTGATGTATGTGCGTGGGTCCTGGATCTCCTGGGGTGCGCTCTGGCCGGGATCTCGAGGCGAGTCCAGCTGTGGCGGCGAGGGAGGGACCGCGGCGTCGGCTCCTCCTCCTCCTAGCTCCTCCTCCGCCTCCTGCTCCTGCTCCTGCTCCTGCTCCTGCTCTGCTCCTGCTCCTGTTCCTGTTCCTGCTCCTGCTCCTGCTCCTGCTCCTGCTCCTCCTCCTCCTCCTCCTCCTCTTCCTCCTCCTCCTCCTAGCTCCTCCTCCTCCTCCTCCTCCTCCGCCTCCTCTCCTCGGAGATCGAAGCGGGCGGGCGACGTGATGGAGAACTCCCCCAGGTAGTGGCCGATGGCCTCCGGCTTGACCTCCACGTTGATGTACTGCTTGCCGTTGTAGACGCCCACCACGCTTCCTGCCGGCATCGGGGGCCGAGCGGTCACAACGGCGGCGCGCGCGCGGAGGCCGCCGGTCGCGGCCGGCCCCGACCTCGGCCGCGCCCGCGCCCGATCCACGCCTCGGGGCGGCCGCAGCGCGGTGGCCAACCTCGGAGCCGACGCCAGAGTGGCCGCCTGTGGGACGCACAGAGACATACTAGCACTATATGGGTGATTCCGGCGACACTGTGCCCGAAAACCTTGTCATCAATTGGGTTCGTAGCTTGTTTACTTCTTAGAACGGCTTCGGCCGAGTTTCCGCCAGCTTCCGCTGGAGGAGGCGACCTCGTTTTACTTCCGCCTACTTTCCGCCGCCCTTCCGCCGCCCGCCGCCGCGGAAGAGATGCCAACTTCTTCGGTCCTCAAAGGAAAGGCCGCTTCTGGAACGCCCCGTATGTCTTCCCTGGAGGCGCGCGTCCGACCCGAACATATAGTATGCCCATCTCGTAGTATACGGTTTCCCAAGGGGTGTGGCCAGGAAGCGCCGCCACGACGCACATACCACAAACTTTCTCGGTGCGCGCGACGTCCCACGGGGGGCGACGCACACATAATAGTATTAGTAGCAGTAGTAGCAGCAGCAGCAGTAGTAGTAGTAGTCGTAGTAGTAGTAGTAGTAGTAGTAGTAGTAGTAAAAGTAGTAGTAGTAGTAGTAGTAGCCGTAGTAGTAGTAGTAGTAGTAGTAGTAGTAGTAGTAGTAGTAGTAGTAGTAGTAGTAGTATCAGTAGTAGTAGTAGTAGTAGTAGTAGTAGTAGTAGTAGTAGTAGTAGTAGTACGAGTAGTACGAGTAGTACGAGTAGTACGAGTAGTACTAGTAGTAGTAGCAATAGCAAGAACTGGTAGTACTAGCAGTAGTACTAGCAGTAGTACTAGTACTACTAG